GTGGGATCACGCCTATGGTTCATCTTATAAGGGTACATGTGAATTTCTCTAAATGTAGAATATAAATGTCTTAACACAATAACTAAAAAAATGACATGAAGGCTATGTTAACCAGTTTGATGAAAATATTTCAAATTGTATATAAAAACAGCACACTGTATCCCATGATAGTATTAATGTTCATAGGTATGATTAAATAAAAAAAAAAATTCTTCTGAACTTAAGCAAAAATAAAGGTACCAGTTTCTTCAACATTTCTCAACTTAAAAAATTTAAAAACCTACATGTTAGTCACTGAATTATTGAGATGTACATAAAAATACTATTTAAATTCTATAACAAGGATCAGCGCCCATAGCACAGTGGTTAGAACACCGGCCACACACACAGAGGCAGTCAGGTTCAAACTTGGCCTGAGGCCTGCTAAACAACAATGACACCTGCAACACTGTGGCAGGTGCCTGTAATCCCAGCTACCTGGGAGGTAGAGGCAAGAGAATCACTTAAGCCCAAGAGTTAGAGGTTGCTGTGAGCTGTGACACTACAGCACTCTATCAAGGGCGACACAATGAGACTCTGTCTCAAAATAAATAAATAAAAATAAAAATAAATAAATAAATTCCATAACAAAATGCATTCTATGGGATAATTTTAGTAAAAGATATCAGCTTTAGAAATTGATTTCCCAATTTCAAGTACCCCAATTCAAGAGCTCAGAGTACTATGAAGGCTTTATTTCCCACCTCATACTTTACTATAGATAACATAGGGTTTTAACCTTCTTTAGATAGAGAAGCTTTCAGAAGCTAGAGAAAGACCCATTGAAATCCTAAGGTCAGGGCGGCACCTGTGGCTCAAGGAGTAGGGCACCAGCCCCAGATGCTAGAGGTGATGGGTTCAAACCCAGCCTTAGCCAAAAAAAAAAAAAAAAAAAAGAAATTCTAAGGTCATACGAGAATTAAATAAAAAGTGACCAGAAAAGGAAACTGCTCAGTCTCATTCCCACTGTCTCCTAGAAAAACTATAGCATAAAGAATGCAAAATAAAATTATTTATCAACTGATAAGTAATTGAGAAAGAATATGATGGGACTCTAACAAGGAAGAGCCTCACAGAATAGGAGAGACATGTCTGTAACAGAAGTAGGTCAGGCTTCCCTGGGCCAGGAAGAAACCAAATTTTCACTTGTCCATGGAGAAAGAGTTGAGGAAAGCCATTAGCTCTATTTTACAAGAAGCTACACCTATTCAATTTATGGAACTATCCCTTTACTGAGAAAACATACTTCATTTCCTTTGGTATCAGATTTTTCTTTCCTTTAGAAATGATTAAGATGGTAGTTCTGGCTCGGCGCC